GCAGACACTGAGCAAGAGTGACTTAAAAGGAAAAAAGCTTCTGTACATAACAGTAGTGCAATGCATTAAGAGGCATTTGTAATAAAGAATGAGTGAAGGTGGAAATCCAAATAACCCATGGTTTAATTAAATCATGGTTTAGTGTAATACATGGACTAGTTTACTGTTATCGGGTCCATTTTCTCAACTTAGAGGAAGTGGTTCTTGCCATTTGTCTATCAGTCATCCTCCTAATTATTCATTGCATGTACTTGCTCACAGCTTCTTATATGGTAGCTCTGAGAAATGAAATGTCACTATTTAAAAAAAGGACGCCTTGTGATTACTCAGTGTGCAACTCCTATGGATTGCAACATGAAAATCAGTTAAGTTTTAATCATCTGTCTCGGTTAATGCCAATTTACCTAGAAGTCAACTAATTGAGCTAATTGAGAGCAAAGACATAAAGTGCTCCGGAAAGCCTCACTTTGAGAGCTTTGAATGGCCTAGTTCCTTGAATGTTATAATTGACTAGTTTACTATGTCATGTCAAATATATGTGATATTCCCAACAAACAAGGATCAAAACTACTTAACAAATAGTACAATTGGAGACATATTTGTGAATGAGTCTAAACTCCTGGAACTTGAGCATTTTCTTTAGTTCTCAGAATTAGTGCTATTTTTAGTATCAGTTAGCAGGGCTTCACTATAAGTCAGGCTCAAGGTGTTTCACTCATTTAATAATGTATAGAAGGAAATAGTATTTTGACCTAAGCCATTTAGTAATTTGAAGGTAACTATTAACTGTTTGAATTGTGATTAGAAATGCTGTAGAACGACCTAGAATTGAAAAAAAATGGACCTCTGTGTTCTGAGAAGCGGGTTTCACTCAATCTGGGAGCAGTATTGGCATTTGCTTCCTCACTCGCTTGTGCTCTCTCTCTCTCTCTCTCACGCGCATACAGGGTCCAAAAGCTCTGAGGCGGGCCGGGTAAATGACCATGGTGAGGTGTATCCGGCCCACGGGCTGTAGTTTGAGGACCCATGATTTAAATATTCCCAAACTGAGTCTCTTTTATGGCCTGCTACAATTATTTCTCCTTCAGGGAAAGAATAATATGATAAATATCGAGCTAAACACAAAAAAATCTGAAGACTTGTGGAGTATTCTGCTCAAAAGGGTTCACTTTCATTTTTACTGCTTGCCCCTCTCTGCTCACACGTAGCTTCCTGTGCTGATCTATTCCACTCCCAACAATCTTCTATTCTGTGCATTTTTAAATCTTAGTACTTAAGAGGTAATGGGTTGATTCTGTGTGCATAGATTTGCAAAGGAACAATAGGATTAAGGACTTTTTCTCTGTATGTTAATTTTATAACTTTTTTTGCTGTGAAGAAGTGACATGTGATGTCTGCAGGCACACATTCACAATTGTGAGAACTCTAAAAGCAAGCATCTATGAAAATATCTTCTAGACAGTAAAATTTCCCAATAGTCTTACAGAAGCCTGTGGAAGAGCATGACATGGTGAATGGATTAATGGAAATCATTTACCAAAGAATTTAAACATTGCATGAATATACAGCCTCATGCTATATAATTAAAAACCAATCCATATTTCACAGTGAATATCCTTTGGACTATAATGTATCTTAAATGGAAAACTATCTTACACAGATTTTGCCTCAGAAAGCATTTTATTTAAAACACCTGATTTAAATTTTTAAAATCCATTTTTAAGTAAAATATTGATTTTTATCCACCCCAAATTTAATCATCTCTGTTCTGGGTGTCAGCTTCTCACAGTTTGTTAGTACTGAACTATTCCATTTTTTTTCAGAGTACCCTAAAAAATTATCAGTATAATATTTTATTACACCACCATGAATTTGGCTTCCATCCTGATGTAAGTGAATGGAAGGAAGTTCATGGATGGGGTCTTTTTCTTTCCTTCTCCCTTTATGGCCTTTTAAAAAGAATGTCTGGATGGTTTGGGGATGGAATAGAGTGTGGAAGGGCCCAAAAACCAGGAGGAATTCTGTGTTAAGTTTGACTGGCTCCCACTAGGTTAATTTGGATTCTCCCATACCTCCCACCTTAGTGAAATCCCACAATGTTTAGATGACTTTTCAGAGCCTACATTGGGAAGGAGAGAAAAATGATGGGTTCATCTTCCTTCAACACCCTTTGTTTCTTAAGATTCAAGCTTCTACAGCTAAAAACCTACTTTCAGGGAAAATGCACTGACATGAATGATTGCTATATTTTTCTTATTTTTTGAACAGTATTTTGTACTGTCTGTATAATGGTTTGAAATCTTTGGGCTCAATAAAATATTTCTTTTGTCTGCCTGGAGGCATCTTTCCCTCCTTCCCCTACCCTCTACAATTGTAGCTTTCTTGCTTTTTCTTTCTGCTTTGGTTATAATCAATGGCAATTTTTCCTTTTGCTTGAGATGACTAATAATCTTTAGCAAATACATTTGATATGGCTTGACATGTTGTTTTCTTATACACTGCTAAGCATTAATGAAAACCTGGGGCAACTTGTTGAACTTTTACAAAATCTGTCTTGCCCTTTTTTCTGAGCTCCTACAACAGTCCATGTTCATACTAATCACCAGCAGGACATTTTGCAAAATATTTTTAGTATGTTAATTGCATACTTCAAGATGAAATATTGCAACCCAGAGGCAATATTGCAATGGAAACTATATCTGATGAGCAGATATTCTTCCCCTTTCCTAGTAATTCTTACATAATGCTTTTATGTAAAGATGCTTGTTTCTTAATTGCTTAGAATATATCCTTGCAATGCAACCTTGGTAGGAAACATGGACTTAAAAAGCATCTTCCTGCACTTGCGTGTTATGGCAAGCCACTCTGGCAATAAGCCATGGTGGGTTGGTTCTGCCAGAAACTATGGTGTGCTTGGTAGGCATTCATGTTCACTGTGGGTAATCCATTCCATCCCTTCCCCTCTGTCCTCCTACTGGTGCCCCAAGGGACACCAAAGCAGGACAGACTTGTCTCCTTTCCACTGTGAGCACAAGCCATTTTCTGCTTGCCGTGGCTTTTTTTTGCTATTGCTCTGTGCCTCCCCCCAAGTCCTCAAGATTGCAAAAGCTGGCTTGATAGTTGGCTTCATGATCCCATTTTGACACCACTGACAGTCCTTTCAAAGTTTCCAAGAACCTTGGACGGGCACTCAGTGGCTAGCAAAGCATTCTTAACATTGGGGGAAGTGCACAATGTGTGCAAATGTGTGTGCGTGCATGCACGTGCGTATTGAAATTAGCTGCAGGTACACAATTGCAAAGGTTGCAGTTGCGCAAGTGCAGAAATCTGAGGCCTTGGCTGGGGCATTCTGAACATGGCCCCAAAGAGACTCTAGACAGGTATATTTCTTTCCTTTGCAACTGTCAAAAGAGAAAGCAAAGGCACAAGTGGTCTTTGCTTGGGGGAGGGGGGAGAGGGAGATTTGCTCCAGGCTGCTGCTGCTGCTCCTCCTCTCATTGGTAGTCTTCAGGGTGGTGCACATATTGCACTTTTTTCTGGAACTAGATGCTCAGGAAAGCACAAAAGCACATTGCACCCCCTTTTTTCCTGGGAAAAGGCATTTGAGAGCTAGCTGGTTCCCCTTTAAAAAGACACCTCTGACAAAGCAATGTATTTTTGGGTATGACTTTTTTTTTTTTTTTGGAAAATTAGCACTGGAAGAAGCAATGCCAATGCAGTGGGTACTCTGTCAAAAATGACTCGTATTTGCCAATAGTAGCCTCTGGCTGATAGGCCTTGAATTGATACTTGTCCTATCATCCCCTCTCACAATATTTCCCTAAGTCCTGAGGAAGTCAACAAATGGAAACTATTGGTTCTCTTCAGCCCCCATTGTGGTTCCTTTACAGAGCAATGCCAGTTGGGGTGATGGCCCTTCAGCACATTTTTACAAATCTCCCTGATAGCTTTAAAAAACAACAACAAAAACCTCAGAAGGTGGCAGGGATAATCTTAGCTAGTGTGGATGCTCCATTTCTTTGTCCCATTTTGTCATCCTCTTAAAAAAGAAAAGCTGTTGGGAAGATTCATGCAAACTGAGGAGGTAGACAGTAAATAGAGGGGATTTTGCATTAGTGTGGCAATGGAGCTGATGAAGGAGCTGAAAAAAGGTGAGGAGCTGGTAACTCCTATTTGTAGACTTCATCAAGGCTTGGGGAGGACACAAATAAGTGTGATTTCAGTAGTGGTAGGCTAGGGCACTTTGTTCACTCTTCTCCCCCCACCCCACAGTTTTGGTGCTTCTGAATGTACAAATGAGTTCCTATTTCTTAGTATTAGTTTTCCCTGTTCTTTGGCAAATGTGCACAGATTAGCTTGTGTGACGCCTTGTCTTTTCAATTTCCTGGTACATTATTCACTCAGGGTGAAACAGAGAAAAGTTAACAAGGCAAAACTATACATAGTAGACAACTAAATCTGAGTGCTTGTAAGAGGCTAGGAAAAATAATAATAAAAGGACTCCATTTGTGGAATTCTGAGGTACCAGAAAAGCAATGAACAATGTAAGAGGTCAGAAAAGGGAGCTGGGAAGGGGCCAGAAAGGTTTCCCACCATAGGCAAGGTAGGTTGTCATACGAAAGACACTGTACAAAGAGTGGGCTGGAGTAATGAAGGGGAAAGATCATGCACCAGACTGCTGTCCATCCAAGTCTCTCCCTGGAATAATGTGAGTTGGTGAGCGAGCAACCTGTCCATGGTGCCCTGTGTTCCATGGTGGAATAGAGAGATACTCATATTAACCGTATGCTGCTTTGAAACTAGAGTTCTGAACCCTAGTTAAGTCATTACCAGAAATACTTGACGATATGGTGCAGATGTGGCCAAACTGATGAGCTGATCTGGCCTCTTGTAGCTGACAGTTTTTCCTATCTATACTGAGCAAAAGCATAAAATATTACTTCATGACTGTACAACATCTGGCTGATGTAATAGCCTTCTCTTCTACTTTGTTTTTGTAGCCAGTATTGATGTTTTGGCAAGTCACAGCAACGAGAACACTCCAAGTAATGATGTGGCAACAGGTAGCGCGCATCCTGAATATATTGCTTATTTCCTGATTCCTGTATTCTTCCTTATGGGGCTCCTGGGGATTTTCATCTGCCATATATTGAAGAAAAAGGGTTATCGGTGTACAACGGAAGCAGAGCAAGAAGAGGAGAAACTTGAAGAAAAGATAGGTAGGCAAGAACCATTTTGAAAAGATCAGCTTCTGTGCTAACAGGACTGCATTTTATATGCTGTAGCATGTACACTAGCCTTCCTCAGCTGGTGCCGTCCAGATATTTTGGACCACAACTTGCAGCATCCCTTATGCCAACTGGGCTTGATGGGAGTTGTCCAAATTAGTTGGAGGGCACCAGGTTGGGCAGGCTGAGTCTTTGCCCATGTGGACCTGGCTTCAAATCTCTGCTCAGATTTGGAGCGTGACCTATCCCTGTGAAGATCAAATGGAATAAAAGTTATAGCTTGGGGCTGTTACTGGGTGACCCAAGTCCAAATTCTTAGCTCATTGGGCTTGACTTTGAGCTAGTATTTGTCAGCTTAATCTACCTCACAGGGTTGTTTCAGGGGTAAAACAGATGAAGAGGAAACTACCCCTCCAGCACTCCTTTTACTGCAATAGTAAAATTGGTGGTGCCAGACTGATGAGGTAGCAAAACATGGGGAATAACACGTAGACCACATGTTGTGCGGTCCTTTCTTAGAGGAGGGGCAGAATCTCTTGACTGACCAGATGCAAAGGAAGGCATAGCTTCTGTGCTGACAATCAGTGTATAGATTGCAATGCCACATCTATAGCTTAACATCTGGCCAGAGCAGTGGTACATCTTTTTCTTTCCTGGCCTGGGCTGTCTGGTTCCCAGGGCAAATCTCCCACTGTTTAGCTTCAGATCCTAGTTACCATCAATAACTGGGTCTCAGGTTGGTGCTGATGTGCTCAACTTGGTGGCAGGGTTGGAAATTTACCCTGGAAGGTCTTGAACATCTTTGTCTCACTTCTATTGCCTTAACCATAGTTAAGGCATGAGGAGATGGTGTTGACCTTGATCGTAGGTAGTCCTGGTTCTTGATCTACCCACGTGTGCACAGTAGCACTGCTGCCTCTTCAATAATACGGATGTGGCTACACTCTCAGTGTTGAAGAAGAGCACGGCCAAGCACACCTGCATGTTCTTCCACTGGGGTGCTTGCTTAGATCAACTGTCGTTCTTGTCGTCTGGGAATAAGCAAGTCAAAAGGCTGCCGCAGGTGTCTCTTCTCTTTCTAAAACCAAACTTTTCAGGACCAAGAAGAGCTTGTGGGCCATTGCCAAGTAAAACTTGGTCCTCTTGTGAAAAGATTCTCCAGTTCTCCGCCAGTGCAGTGGCCTCCAGTGTAATACTAGAGGCAGATGTAGCCCAAATATAAATTTAGAACAAACAAATAAACGTAACCTTTAAATCATAGGTTGCATGGAGATGTCTCGGCATTGGAGAGGCTGATCATCCAGGCTAGATGCCTAGGTACGATCACTTGAGCAGATGGGCTATTAACATAGGCTTTGTTGTCCAAACCACGGATCCCATAGCCTGTAACTTTAACTTGAAAGTATTTCTACTATATGGAAAGATGATTGCTTTGTTCATCGCTTCATAGATCCACCTGAGATTAGGGTATGCAGGATCCTTTTGTGTGATTTGGTGTGAAGCCTCTGGATTGGTCAGGTTTAGTAATGGAACGATAGCTCTTTCCATGCTCCAGCTACCCACAATTTGTCCAGCTCGGATTCAAAGCTCTGTTTATAATGGCTAGCCTGGATTAGACTAAGGCTTCCCATAACATTGAACTAACTAGAAAAATGACAGAGGCTTGGACCAGATAAGGATTGATGTGCCACACACATTGTGCATCTGACCTGTCCTTTGTCATACGTGTAATATCTACTTGTGGAAGTTCACCTTGCTCTTTGACTAGAACTCTTCTCTTGGAAAGTATTTCTATTATATGTAAAGATGTTTGCTTTGATTGTTGCTTCATAGAATATTTTTGTGAAATTGTGTTATTATATAACTTCTTTCCTGTGTATTTTCCAACTTTCCAAGAAAATTCAAGAATTCTTTTTTATTCTCAGAGTTAAATGACAGTACAAATGATAATGGTGACACTGTGGGAAAAATTGTTGACTACATTATGAAAAATGAAGGTATGTATCTCTTAAAATTAACATACAGATCTGCGTGCTAAATGTTACAATCCTTTGCAGTTACTTTGAAACAGTGCTGAAGCCTTTTAAGGCATTCATTATAGTTCTTAGCATGAGATGCATGCTATTTTTACTTTCATAGATGAGAGCAAAAAAATGTAAATTCATTGTGCTTCCACTAAAGTTTGCATAATTACACATGGTTAAAAGTTCATCCTGAAGATTATTCCTTGCAGAGTAAATGGAAAGTTAAAATCTTACATCTACGAAATAGCAAGCTATTCTTTGAGTTTGGGCTCTTACATAGCAAGAATAGTACCATTCATGCGCAAGAGGGAGGTATGAGCAGGCTTGGAGTAACCTTGAAGTTTACAGACGTACAAACATTTTAAAAGGAAGAACAGGTGGACACCCAAACAGCTGAGCAAGTACTGAGCATGCTCAGTGGATACCAGTTGCTGACTATTTACAGCTGAGGAATCTAAAAATGGGATGAAAGTCAGAATCCTTAAGGTGGACATGGCTGCTGCCTGGAACTCTACAGGGCAAGGACCCACTTACTCTTTGGAATTATGAATACAAAGTTTCAAGGTTTGGAAGTTTAAAAGACTTGAATCCTTTGACCAGTGCCCTGTTAGTTCTGTGCAAACTTGAAAACAACCGGCTTTCATCAAGCCATAGTAGTTGTAACTTAATGGGATTTCTTGCTGTTTCAGTGTTTCCATGGCATTCCCAGTGATGTAGATGATTTTTCATGTTGTGCCATTACAAACTTTAGTGTTGGCTTGCACAATTTGTGACACATCAAGCCTGAAGTAATAACAAGCGATATAGAAAGCCCCACAGCTTGGTTTCTGATCATGTACTGTGCTGGGACACGGTACTAACTCAAATGTAAGGGAAAAGCACATAGTACATTCCTCTCTAGACTGTACCACACTAGAAAAGAGGAGGACATCATGAGGAAATGTTCCCCCTCATTTATAAATCTGGCTCTTTTGAAACCAGAATAACCACTTGACATGCTTTCTTTCTCATAGCAGTTCAGATTTGAGGTGGAAGGTGTTTAAAATGCAATCTCTGCATCAGCTTTCTGAAACAGTTTGCATCTCAGGAGGACTGGACTACATGCAGTTGTTCTGCTGGAACGATGCTAAGTAGTTCAACTTTCATACGTCAGTTAGGTATTTTTCAATTGCAGCACAGTTAATATTCTCTTCTGCCCATCCTACATGAAGGCGATTTCTACTCATTTCAGTATGACTGCAAGTAAGAAGTATGCGTAGGATTGCATTCAGATATACGTTTCATTACTCAAACAGCTTCTGAAACATGAGTAGAATTAATGTCACTTAGGATGTGTTATCTTCTTGCTTACAAGTTTGCTTAACACCTAACTTAACCCAAAGAGATTGAGCTCCAAAATGTTACAATCCTTGCAGCTAATGCTGATGTGCTGAAGGCCATGGTGGCAGATAACTCTGTGTATGATCCAGAAAGGTAAACCCCTTTTTCACTGTGTTGTTTTATCTTAGCTGTGGGGAACTCTTCTGCTCTGTGACACTGGATTGCCTTCTGGCTTATCCCTGAGGTTGGATGGTGCCAGTGGGTGGGCCCTTTGCCCAAACCTGGCACCTGGCATCATAGAAACTCTTTTCTTTGTGCAGAGTCCTTCACTCCTGCCTTTCTCTGCACAGCAAGGGTACAATCCCTTTTCCTGAGCTTGTTGGAAAAGGCAGTATGTTATAAATTCACTGATACATAAGAATTCTTAAACAGATTATACTGTGACAGTTAAGCTCTTTTTAAAAGTTTCATGAATATGTGGCAAAGAACTAGCTGACATCACATGCTTCATAATGCTGGAAATAGCAAATAGCCGTACAAAATATCTATATATTCAGATAGATATTTTGTAATCAGATCCCTATGTATGGTGCTTTACAGAATAAGGGGAGCAAAAAACACAAACAGACCCTTTTCCAAAGTCAAAGATCTAAATTTTGGAAGAGAGGAAAAGATCCTGGGGAAGGAAGAGACAGAAAGATATACAAATACTTTGTCACAGACATAATATTATCTTGAGCGGTCAGGCTGTTGTGGGAGTGTGTGTACACTTTAAGCAAGTCATTTGCGGGTGCCCACTGTTTATTTCATGGATTGGTTGTTGCCTGTGATGCCAGAAATCTAATTTCCCCCATCCCCCTGTGCTGCCATTTCTTGTGGCTGTTGCTTCGCATTTTTTTAAGAATATGAAACTATCATCTGAAGTACAATAGACAGATTGATGAAAGGGCAGATATGTGGATGAATGACTAAACTACAAAGTGAGCAGGAAAAGCTGCATTTGGAAGGAAGAGAGAGACAAGGCAATGTATTTTCAGAAAGATATGAGGAGCTGCATGGGTGAAAAGCTGGTGTTTAATTCATCAGCTACCTTTCTTCTAACATATTCTTATTGTATTCTGACTTTAAAAATGCACCTACTAGTCCAACGAGTCCAACTACTCCAGGCAGTCCAACGAGTCCAATTTCTCCTTTGTCAAGTGGAGGTCCTCAGTCAAAACATACTTGCCGAGGTCGTCACTTGCATACAGTTGGTGGAATTGCGGGCACAGAGGCGTGTACTCGCTGCAGTCAGAAAAGATGGCATCTATTCAGTCCTGCTAAAAAATCTAAAGATGCAAGAAAAGCCCGGCATGGAGAAGTCACAGTGCTGTCTGTGGGAAGGTTTGTCCATCTAGCTTCATTTTAGATTGTTTGTTGTGCTCTGTTTCTTCTGTCTTCAACAAACTTCCTGTTAAATGGTGGAGCTGCTGGGCTGTATATGAAATAGTGCTTGTGTGATATAATTAGCAGGTGATGAAGATGGTATAATTTTTCCCCTTATAAAGGGCTCTATGATTCCCTCTGCTAGCGTTCTTCAAAATGGAACTCCTTATTGACAGGGTTGGTTGGGAATGATGGAACTTGCAGTCCATCACATCAGATGGCTACATGTACTGTTAGTTCCCAGTTGTGAGCAATGCTGAGGAACAAAACATTGAAATCATCTCTTGTATATGATTTTCAAAATTGTGCTATCCCTTTGAGGTAATACATTCTGCTTCTTCAGCACTTAGTACAGCAGGGTCCCCATATCCATAAGAATTGGTTCCATCCCCCCAGTGGATGCTTGAAACTGCAGATGATAGCGAATACTCTATGTACTATATATCCTTCCTTCCTTCCTTCCTTCCTTCCTTCCTTCCTTCCTTCCTTCCTTCCTTTTTTGCAGTTTCATGGAAGGAAGATTTATTTTTACCATACATCAGAGCTTCCCAGTTGGGGATGGATATGTGTGTGCACAAGATTACATTTCAGGGGATGCTACAAAGAGGAAGGTTGTGTTGCGATTTGCCATATTTTTTGAATTGCAACATTTTTCAGCAAGAATTATTCCAAGAATACAATTCTTTATTATTAGTTCGTTTGCCTTTAGATTAAGTTCTTTTTTTGTCAAGTCAAGTCAAAATCTATGTATTGCCTGAATCTAGGATCACAGTAAGCAAGCAAGTTCCACATATTCACAAAATCCTGAATGAGAAGCAAGGGCAAAGAAATCATTGAATTTTATGTGCACAATCAAAATTACAACTTTTTCTTATTGCTCAATTTATATTTGAATTTTATGCACTGAGTTAAAAGCTTATTTTTTTAGTTCAGTTTGTTCACACATAGTACTTTATGTGGTTCACTTAAAGGAAGCACTTTATGATTTCTCTTTGGCACTTTATGGCACTTTACGACTTCTCTTTTGGAATGAGGTCAACTGTGGTTAAGTGAAAACACAGTAACTGAACCAGCAGATATGGGAATCCTGCTGTACTTCTGTTTAGTTAAAATCACTGTGTAAATGTAAAAAAGTAAAATAAACACATGATTTGTACGTATAATTCATTGCATTTAAGTGCTGCTTAATACAGGGACAGGATCTCATTTTGAGGTATTGGTAGCCAGCTTCTTCACTGCTGGTGTGCTTGGAAAGTTCTCTCCAAAATGGAAGGATTCCCCAAAGGTTTCTGTGAGAACGCAGAGGACATGGGGCAGCTCCTTTTGCCACATAGGCTTTGAAGCTGGGCACTTGGAACTGATATTAAAGAAAAACATAAAAATTAGCTGGTGCCATCACTTCTTTGGGTGATGGTAAGCTCAGCCTTGTTTTATCAAAGGTACAAGGTTTGTAAGTATGGTGCATGGCAAGTGCTCAAGGTCAAAAGAGAATGCAGGTGAAGCAACATTTAGAGTAATCATAGGTAGTTGTTTGCAGGATGATAAACTAAGGGCACAAAATGATGCCGGAAGTTGTAGGACTTTTTTTTTCTGTCTGCACCACATAGGACTGTACTCTGTATATGCCCTTCTGAAATTTGCCTCTCCAGCAGTGATTCTCAAACATTCTACCTGTTGAGAAATTTGTTTTCACATGGATTTCCTTTTTTAGTAGTTACTGTTTCATGACAGATAATCAGTCTCTCAGATTGTCTTCTGCTTTTCAAGGTGATAAGTCTCCTTGTCGTGGTCAATTTAAAAAAAGATTGAAAAGAGCATGTTTCATTTTGGGAGTGAATTAAGAAAAACAAATTGTTCTGGAAAAGTTCAGTTGTCTTAACAGTTCAATTCCATCCCCAGATTTAGAGTCACTAAGGTGGAACACAAATCTGCTTCAAAGGAGCGTAGAAACCTGATGTCTGTCAGCAGTGGAGAAGGCGTCAATGGTGAAATGCCAGCCACTCCTGTCAAAGAAGACTCTAAAGAGGCGCCAGTTACACCTGCTATCAAGCAGGGCTCAAAACAGCTGCCGTCCACACCTGCTGAGCAAGGGAGCAGAGTGAGAACTGATGCAGACTAATGCTTGGGTATAGCAAGTTACTGAAACCCAATGTGAGGTCAGTATATTCTTGTTTTTAATCATAGGGCTTTAAAGCTGTTACAAATCCTGTGGAGATTCAACATGCTTGCATTTCTTTCAGAATTAAATAATAGAAGATGAAGACTATTGCATCTGCTCTAATTAACTTGAAAATGCTGCTTTTTATATGTTTCCTTGCATTTAGACATTTTAGTATTGTGTGTATAGATACTGTCCCTTGAGAGAATGTACATTGAACTGCAGAATTCAGATGTTTCGTATAATGGTCAGAGTTTTCTGCCAACTTTAATATTTTAGAGATGAATTGCTGCACAACAGACTTTCACAATCCATCACTTCTAATAATATATTATTTTACTTTCTCTTTCCCTGCAGGTGGAAGGCTTTAAGAAAAATCACAGAAACAATGCCATTTAGAAAAAATATCAAAATTTCCCCAAGACATATTTGTAAATGCACCGTTGATGTGCATAACTTCTGTGACTGAATCGCTACAGGATTTGGTCCCAGGTATTTAATATTTTTAGTAACTCAGAATGTAATGACATTTTTATAAGTTGAAGCCAACCAGAACATGGTCAGCAGTTTTATATTTTAAATATGTGTTTTTACTTCTAAGAAAGCAGAACCTGATGGGATCCTTCATTGAATGGACAAAACATTAATCCGTTTGCCAAAATAGGCCTTCTGCTATGTTACAATGGATATTGCATTGCATTACATTTTTAGAGGAGTAGTTTGATACATTGCACATTTTTGTAAACAGTGTGGGAAAGGACCAAAACTGTGAGCCATGTTTTAAATTTAATTTATTGCTAAAATACCAATGACTGCTACATTAAAAGTACCATCTAATTATGTTTTCTCTGCATACTTACCGTATTTAATATTTTTGTGCTCATAGCAATCTGTGCCATCTCTATCAAGCTGTACAGTTTCCTCCTGAGTACAGGTACATATACGTACATGTGCTGATACATCAAGTCTTTTCATGGGTCTTGGTAGATATTGCTTAAATCCTGAAAAATCTCAGAGCACCTTAGTCCACTTAACAGATTTTTAAATCAGTGACTATGGAACCACTTTTTGACTTTTTTTCCTGTATGTGAATTGATCTTCAGTTGTGACTTTTCTTCTGGCTGATAGTTCTTCTTTGGGCAAATTGTGACAATTAATATGCTTCTGAGTTCTCTAATATCATGCATCTGGTGGAGAATTTCATGTGTTAGTACTGCTAAATGCCCTCCAGAGAACTGTGAGAAACACTACTCGTAACACTAGGATTGGCATTACCCAGGAAAGTAGCGACTGTCAGAGCTACCTGATTTCCAATGTCAAAAAGGCAACCTTCGATAATGGATTCTTACTTTGTGTATGACTAAATATATAAGATGTCAAGATCAGGAAGTTATTTAGAATTACAATAAATAAAACATGTCATTTTAGAGGTGTATGTTCTTGAAGGTTTCTTTCCCTACCTTTCTCTATTTTGAATTTAGCAGAAATTGACCTAAATAACCTAATAATATCAATTGATTAATTCTTTATTCAGGCATTGAACAGCCAATAAAACTCAAAATTACATTTAGTTAAAATAAGAAAAATACAGCACTTCTAAAATTACAGTAATTAAGATAAGGAAAATAAAAGCATTCTGGTAGAACCTAACAACATTTAGGGTTAATTCTACCATGCATTGTACAAACTATCAAACAGAATTTGGCTGTAGTCAAGGAGATAAAATTGGATTGATTGGATAAAAGTATCCTAAGAGAAAAAGAATCAGTGCGACCAGGATATTTAGAAGAGAGTGGAAATAACAGTTCCTGGCGAGCACCTGTATAGAGAGGGCAATAAAGAGTAACATGCTTCAGCGATTCAATTACTTCTCCTCCACATGGACATAGTCTTTGTTCAAGGATATTTTGTGATACCTCCATTCAGTAATGACTGTTGGGAGGACATTCAGTCTAGCTAGAGATAAAGCCCTTCTGAATTTGGGGAGCATTATGCGATTGAGGTATGTAGCTGGTTGAAGATGAATAACCATATAATTGCAATTTGGCCTGAATTGCCTGGTTCCAGAAGCTGTGAAAGCTGTTAGTCATAATTAAAGGGACCAAGCCAGCTGGAAAGAAGAGGAGCTTGAACCAGTAGGGAAAGAGGTAAATCCAGGTCGAAGTTTCAATTTGAAGAAGACCAGCTTCACATTGAAGGACCATATTTGAAATGCAGTGGGGTGCTTGAAAGATGGTCCTCAGGAACTTAGACTGAACTCTTTCCAAGGGAAGAAAAGACCTGTAAGGTCCCAATTGAGCTCCAAACAGGAGCTGGACTTGAATCTTAGCTGAGAAGACTTAAATTGCTGCAGGTATATACTGTGAGCCTTTAGAGAAATACAAAGTTTGTACAGACACTGTTCTTATGCATTTAAGATGACATAGTTGGCTTGAGATTAATGGTGACCCATAGCAAGAAAGACAATCCCCAAATATTTGCAGGACATAACTTCCTCAATTAGATTATTAAGTCACCAAACATGCATCTTAGGGCACTTGGCAAAAACCACAACTTTGGTTTTAGAGTAGTTAAATTCTAAACCATCTTGCTGGCAATGCTCAGCTAGCACATGGAGTGCCCATTTCAGGTCAATCTGTGTTTGAGAAATCAGCAGAGCATCATCTGCATACAGAAGAGCGGAGATGTGTCTGTTTCCCAATTTCGGAGGATGAAGAGAAGGGCTGTTAAGTTTATCAATAAGGGAATTGATGTATATATTATAAAGCAGAGGGGCTAGTATACATCCTTGTTTCACTCCCCTCTTAACTGGAATTTCTTTAGTGCAGTGTCCTTGGACATTGCAGCCTAAAGCTTAATAATAGTGTGAGACAATATTTAACCAAAATATATTTTGGAAACACTACACCTCATCTAAGTTCCTTCTTTTCTAAAGCTTAGGAGGAGAAACAAAAACCCAGCAGTGTCTTTTATAATACAACCCGTATAGACTGAAAAACTGAAATTCAGTTGGAATGTCAACACTTTTTAATAGTTTTCTGGGCTTGAAAGGAAAAAAATGGTTAAGTTATACTTTTAGAAGCAGACTAAGCAAAATGAAATACAGTTTTATTAAAAGCAGATGTCCCTTCTCTACTATACAACACTTTTTGCAAGGGTTGGATGAAAAGTACAAATACCTTTGTGTCTTGCAAAAGAAAAAGAAAACAAAAACACTCCTTTGGGGCTCTTCATAGGTTGTGGAGACATGTAAATGGATGAAAATGTTTGCCTGCTCAGAATGAAAGAAACAGTGAGCCCTGCTCACCTCAAAGTGGCCATGTGGCATCTTGTAATATCATAATAGCTGTAACCCAAAACCATAGGAAGAGGTACCTGCAACAAAACGATAGGGAAAGTGCATCTTTTCAGTACTCCAGGCAGGCAGCTACACTCACCTCCGTGATACTCCAGACCAGTTCCCTTCCCACCTTTCTCATTGGCATTTCTCTCCAACAGTCAGCATATTCTGATCTCTGAGCATGCTTAATTCTCATTTGGCAGATTGGGATGTTTCACCTGTACTTAGGTGACGTTTGGGCTTCCCAAAAGCTAGCTGATACCTCCCTCTTGTGTATAGAATAGATTGTGCCCTTTCAGCTACATTAGGACCTACATATACTTCTGAACTTTTGAAATAGTGGGACTGATAAATTAGGCCCAACTAACTCGTCCAATTGACTTCAGTGAGACTTAGGCCCAACTCTTGCTCATGCTTATGTGATGCCTTATTGGCTAGAATCAGGTAGTATGAAAATCAATTTCAATATATTGGAAGAGGGTTGGAATAATATTTTAAAAGTCTGTTGTGCTTATACAAAGGCCTATGGCATGGAGAACATGAGATCTCCAGTTAGGAAAGCCAGTCTACATTCGGAAACCGGATTGTTCTAGACACAGTCACTCATGTACAGAAGAATGCACAAGGTGAGGGGGAATTCTGTATCCAGCATTGGAGTTACCCAGCTCAGCATCCAACAACTTTTGAAAACAGCCTAGTGTCTCCTGTACTAGATCACCTGTACCAGAGCAGTCTGCACTGACCATTAGTTTTTAAGTACAAATTCATGCATATAGCAGCTTCTCTTTTTGCTTTAAAAATCTTTTGATTGTGGAAGTGGTGTTTATTTGCTTGAATAAGAGAGTGTATCACAGCCTTCTTGTAATATGGGATGCTCTATCAGCATGATGGTGTGCTATATGGGTCAGCATAGTAAAGCCTAGAAAAGCTCACTTTTCACATGTGTGTGCATTACATGTATTTTAATGATACGGTTTGTGTAAATATTTTGTACTACTTGACACAATAAACATTACACAATTCTTTTTTAAAAGTTCTGTCTTGTTTCTTCTTTCCAGTTAGATACCACATTCTTCAGAGTAAAGATCTGGTGAAATGGCCGGGTGAAATGGCCGACTTCAGCAGTGCCTTTTATGGTTTGCAAAGCTAGTACAACTTTTCAGTTGAACCAAAAAGAAGGCAGCAGAAAGTGAGATTGAAGAAATTATGTTTAAAACAATTTAGACAATTCTATATATTCAGATTGTCTTGCCAAGACAATGGGCCAAGAATTCATGTGAGGTGGTAGAGACCTATTAAGTCAGGAAATGAACAGAAGCCACATACTGAAAAAGATTTCCATTTGCAAGTGTATCTGCAGATAACCAGTGCACTCAGCTAATTCCTCTGAAAGGTCAAGGTGCCAAACTCTGTGATCTGGCTTTGTAAATGGAAATGATCTGGGTACTTCCAAAGTTACCTGATTTCCATGTGTATTGAAGAAGCATACAGTGAGATCTTTGTGTGCAATTGACAGATACACTTCTTCATATAATGCCTTTGAGAACTGTCTTTAGATTCTGGCAATAGGGAATAATGAACTTTACTAGAAACTTCCCTGAATACCTGATTCTGCACAGTTAGTTTCACCAAGGATACAGACAAAAGCTGCTGTTGTGAGGAGTAGAAAGGAACAAGTCTCAAAATGGTCCTGAAAAGGAAAGAACTTTTATAAAATCATCAAATGTTATTTTGTATGACTGGCATTTTCATACTGGAATACTTTTATACTCTCAGGTGGATACAATCTGCACTTAGTGGCTTGTTTGCTTTCAATTTGTCAATAAGGGTTAAAACTTCACATTTTGTCATTCCTGTTTGCATCACTTCTTTGTACTCCTAAAAGTTCAAATGCAGACATTGGCATCTTTCCAACATTTTATGCATTGGATTCAGACTCAAAGATTTCAGTCAGCATTTCTCCAGTCTCCTTATCTGCTAGTTCTCCTTTATCTCTGTTGTCTTCCAACCACTTCACTAGCCAGTCCCATCTTCTGATGTATTAAAATACTTGTTTTATTACTGGTCTTAATCTTATTAGAGTTGCTTGCCTCCTTTTTTGTTTCAGTTACTGGCTGCTAGCATTTCTTTTGTGCAACTTTGTGTTCCCTTTGTTCTTATCAAGAACATTATCATTTTCTGAAGGCATTATTTTTGCCAATGGCTTCCTGTATACTTCTAGTGATCCATACAGGTGACCTTTTGCAGTTGGGGGCAGCTTTCCTGACCTGCAGTATATATTCTAGCTGAGTTACAGTTAGAACTGTTCTGGTGAGATTTGGCCCTGTTAAGTATCTCTTGCAATTTTCTTTTTACCAATCCCCTCTTTTTGAGAAATTTCTTCTTTTGAAGTAAAATATATACTATTCAACTTACTTGTTAATTTTCAATTTACATGTAAATTAAATTCAATAATAGTGTGGTTATTCAATCATACCAGGAACAGCTGCATCTCAAATTAGATCTTGATGTACACTTAGAATTAAGTCCAGGATAACCTCCCTTCTAGTCAGTTCCATGACCTACTGCTCTAAGACACAGTTGTTTGGAGTATCTAGACATTTTCCTTTGATGTCATGATTGGAGTATACATTTTCCAGCTCATGAGAGGATAGTCACCCACTACTGCAAGACTTTTCCCTTTGGATGCCTCCTGGATTTCATTTTCCATTATCAAGATTACTCTGAGCATTTGGGTCAGGATGATGGGGACAAACTTGTCTCCATGTACTCAATTTTAGGTCCTGATATCTGGCTTAAAAGTATTCTGGGAAGGCATGTGCTCCCTTTGAGCGTTCTAGTTGACACTATGATCTTAACATACACAGCAGTACCACTCCTAGTAAACCCTTCCCTATCCTTCCTATGAAGTCTGTATCCAGAGGTGTATCCAGAGTGTATCCCACTGTTTTTTTCCCCATTCTATCAGGTTTCCATTAACCCCTCTGTATGTTCTGAAAAATGAACTCCCCCTCTTCCGTGTTGGTTCAGAAACATCTAGTATTAGGTGCAGAAGCACCTGTGCATGGTGACCTCCAAGTATCTCTTGCATGTGTGTTTTCCCCTCTGGCCTTTCAGTGTTTTGGTTATCTTGTTCTGTTGCATGCATGCGGCCTATTTCTACCCCGTACCCATTTGGGCAATGAAAAATATTTCCATAGACCCTGGACTAGATCCTTCACAGCTTCTTTCCTCCCAGATGAAATGGCGTGAATAAGAAGATCTTTACATTAATTTGTGAGGTGTAGCTCAGCTCAGTTCACTCTGGAATATGGGATGAATAAAATCTTTGAGCATTGCTACTGCAGACTTCAAGCTGTTGGGAACCAGTAACACAAAGTGGTTACTACCATTATGAGAGCTAAGGGAAACAAATATTATGCCTATGTAGTCAGTGTTTGAAATGGGATGTACAGGCCCAACTTAAACTAATGAATCCCAGTTATTCCAACTTGCTATCTCTTTCTCAATTCCTCTCACTCTCCCCAAAACTAATGATCTGGTATCTCAGTTGTTTGGTCTTATTTTTTTTTAAAGTACTCTTTATTGAAGCTGACTGCATGACCTATTTTGGAAGATGGAAGGTTACATGGGCTGAACTAGGGAATTTATACTGGCTGTAATAGAAACAGAGCTGATATTAAAAATAAATCAGAGTACCAGAGGAAATCTGTGGGACTTTCTTTCTCTCTTTAACCTTAAGGTCACTTTGTATTTAAAATATCATAATGTTGAGGTCAGAGTGTCCCACAGGACTGAAATATCCTACTGTCGCTTTCTGTAGGATGCATTTTAAAAGTCTGATCTGTGCCCATTTATTGAACAGAGTGTTAGGATTTGACCTGTGTAACTTTCCTCTTTCAAATTAGATCATGCCACATCTGTAGTCTGGGAGAAAGAGCAAGTTAAAATTCTGACCTCTCAATTAGGCAGAAATACAGGCACATTTGGAAGTTACCTAGCAATGAATAAACTCTATCAGTTGGGAGGGTTTTTTAATGTCTGCTCTTACTTTCTAATTCAACTGGAAACTGACGTTCTGTTTGATTGTTTTTAAGCTGAATGTCCCCAGAATCTGAAAGTTCAGGGTATGGATGATTTCCCTGATAATGCTTCACTGCCTCTCTCTCTGAAGTTCCAAGGTGTAGTCAAAACAGTATTATCTGCACATAGAACCAAGCTTGAGTTGGTAGACCCTGTGAGGTGTGAACACCTAAAACATCTTTATTGTTGTAAACTGTTCCGAGGTGTCTGTGAAGGGACGGTATAGAAAAGTTTTAAATAAACTTTATAACAAACTCCTTAAGGCAACGCAAACCCTGAAAGTAGCCAAATAAGGTCCGAGCATGTTCAATGGCTAGAATGACTGTTGGGGAAAGGAAATTAAAAGCCTGGTGGAAGGTGGAATGGAAGAGAGTAGCACGGAGAAGGGCCTGGCTGGAACAGAAGTACCTCACGCTGCAGCACTTGCTTGCAGATCCCAATTTGTTAATCCAAAACAAAGGCATCCACTGCAACTGTTTCATAACACAGACTTTGCATTCAAAGATAACCTCATTGTAAACATTACAGTGTAAAGTTTTTGCATTGCTTTAAAAAACTAGTTACTACACTGCTGTTGAGAATACTCCCTTGCTTCACCTCAATTGGAAAATGACCACACGGCAATAATCCTTTAGTCCTGCAGGTGGCTCTCCAACACACAAGGTAGAAGCACTGTAAGAAAAATGTCCTGATGTTTTGGCAATTGTTTTATCATCTACTTATAAAATATTGGCATTTTGTGGGATGCATGCCAAATGTAGGAAGTTTAGTTGGATGGCCTATTTTAAAGTAAGAAGAATTTCATGTTTACCCTCTTCTTTCTTCTAGTTGCTTCTATTTATCTTCCAAACTTTTAAAAAATGAGGGGAAGATGGGGTCCTTGGAGAAATAAAGCTCTTGTAGGCTTCATTTCATTGGCAGGCCACCAGAAGCAAAAGACTTAGGGCCAAACCCACAAAAAGTACTAACACTACCAGCAAATTTAGCTTAAGCCTCTTATAACCAGTAACTAAGACTTAGGAGAGGCATTTCGATTTTTTTAGGGGACTGCACCAAAACTAGGAACTCACCAAACAGAAAAATTGGTCTTTTCTGACAGACTTTTTGATTAGGTTGTGCTTTTATATTTGAAATGACTCTTGTCATTTTTAAAAACACAGTTTTTATTTGGTATGAATGAGTTTTAGGTTTTGTGCCCTAAGAAAGGTTATATTGAATACTACCATGGTCTTCTGTACTACTGTGGAGTCTTCACCAGGATACCTGTGTACTCACCTTTGTCAGAACATAGAACTTGCTTAAATATATTTGTGATCTTAAAAGCTACAGAGGTTTTAGCTCTAAATGTTTTATGGGCAATAGGATGCCATTTTAGAAATCCTTAAGGATAAAAAAAAAAATCGCAAGATCAAACTTTTCTATATTTAAAACAATTTCTTTATTAACAGGTTACAATAGATTTTCGTCTATAAAATATAAAATCAGAAGGGAATGGTTGACGATAAGGGAAGTCCAATGTCAGGTAATCTGCCATTTTCATCTCTTCTCTAGAAGTATCCAACCTCAAAACTAGCAAAATGAGGTTAAATGAAGTAGTTTGAAATTCAAGAAAATACCTCCCCAAGAGTTCAAGAATAAATATTTTCCAGTACAATATACCAAGTATTTTTCAAGTGGCATCAATACTGTCACAGGAAACTGAGGGAATATTTTTCTATTCATAATGCACCAGGCAATCTAGTATTAACTCGATTTGCTTTGGATTTGCTCAGTGGTTGATCTTTTCTGCAGACACCCCATGTTTAGTTCAGCTTAGATGACACCCTCATGGATGCTCTTTCACCTACTTTGAGAGCTACTTCCATAGGAATATGCTCCTACTTGCTGTCACATCCAGGGTCCGAACAATTGCAGGGCAAATAATCCATTTATCTCAATTTGCAGCCTGCCCTGTCTAAAACATTTAATGCTAACTTAATTACTAACTTCAAGGAAAAAAATCATAACGCCAGGCCTAAACCAGAAATTATTTTGGGGGAATAGTGTTACAATGGTGTGTGCGCGTGCACACACACACACAGACAAAATCTCCAGTGATGGACAAATTAAAGGGCAAATTAAAAAGATCCTGATTTATATATACATGTCAATTCTGTTGTGGGAAGTGTGTCGGCCATTGACAGGTACCTTTAATTTTGCAGTTTGCTGGTGTCGGTGCTGTTGTACATGTGGATGAGTAAACACAAGCCGGAGACATAACATTCAGGACACCCAAGCCATGCTCTTTGGCATATGTTCTTCTACAAGCAAATTTAGTAAAGCAAAATCAGGGAATGCAAATGCATGTGCAAACCTGCCGTGAGCTTGCAAGAGTGTGTAATTGGAGCTGCATGTCATTTTATGCTCAAGTCACACTTAAGGCTTCACCATGAAATTGCCTTGCCCAGGCAGTTTCATCCTATAGCACTTTCCTCAACCTGGGGCCCTCCAGATCTTTGAGACATATTGAGAGCATCAGGTTAGGGAAGGCTGGTCCACAACAAGATACCCTTGTGCTTAACCAAACGGAAAAGGACCTGGCGCAATTGCTTCTGGCAAGTCAATGTTGGAAACAATTTATTGTAGTTAGTGTTATGGATCCTGAAGTGAAGTGGCTTAATGGTCTTGCTGCTGCGTGCACACACAGCAACAGGGTTTGAGGAAGAAGCACCACCAGGAAGAAGTCCACCAGGATGGAATGTAATGAGGCTGAACCTCTGCAATGCACCATGCATGGGACCCTGCTGCATTCTGCATCAGAGAACTGGTCCATCTGGCGCGTTTCTGCCATGTGTGGTGGCTTGCCAGGATCCCTTCCTGGCCCTGTCTCATGATGAAGGATGTTGGGCCTGGGCCCTCCTGTAAGGAAAGCAACAGGAGGAGGAGTGGGAGCAGTGCTAGACTGGGACTCGGGAGACTCACGTTCTTGCCCTCACTTGGCCATGAAGCTCACTGTGTGGCTTTGGGCTAGGCACTGCCTCTCAGCCCAGCCTGCAGCACAGGGAGTTGTGAGGATAAAATGGGAAAGTGGAAGATTGTGCAAGTCGCTCTGGGTTCCTTGGATAAAAAAGGAAGAACACAAATGTAGCATACTAACAGCAACAACTGCTCTACCCCTGAGTTACCGCCCCTCTATTACAAATGGCACACGTGGCTCAGCACCAGAACCCTAAGACATGCCTAGATGACTCTCTCCCCTTCATTATGGTCACTTTGTAGGCACACTGTGCCTGTCAGTGACCACTTCCATACATCAAGCCCTTGAAATAGCCATCATCCTGCAGCTGTGGAACATGGGAAGCTGCCATGTGCCAACCCTAAACCTTGGCTCATCTCACCCAGTATTGTCAGCACGGGCTGGCAGCATCTCTTCAGGGTTTTGCAGCAGGATCCTTCCTGAGCCCTACCTGGAAATGCTGGGGATCGAACCGGTGGCAGGGGGCCTTCTGTATCCCAAGCAGGTGCCCTGCCACTGAGCTATGGTTCTTCTCCCATGTTTTGGTACCAGTTGGGTCTATGTGGCCGTAGGTACAAGAGAAATGTTTACTTGTGTTTTTAGTGGGTTTTACAAGGGGGAAAATACATAAAACTAGAGCTAGGTTAAATATTTTCCAGTTAAAACAAAGCAGATATTCATTTATTTTTCCAACACCCTTTGGTACTATTGTTTCCCCCTGGCTGTGCCTGCTTCTATCTTTGCTATGTCCTACTTTATCTTCTCTTTCACCCTACGGGTGGCTGGGTAGTGAACAGGATGCCGTCACTCACAGCGCTGTGTATTCAGTCCGAATGAGCGATGTGGTGACATCACTGAGGTAAGTGCAAATGAGAAAGGGAATGCTTTTGTCTGAAGTCTTTCCTGCAAAGGAAAAAAAAAGTCAGGGAAACCGTTTCTGGCACCACTGAAACTCTCCCTCCGAACCCAGCAGTTGTCTCTGAGCTCTAGCTGAAATTGCCCTTCAGCAGGTAAGAGGAACACGTGAAGCCTGGAGGGCTGAGGAAAGCTCTGAACTGCCCAGAAGTGTGGGAGGACAACTTCTCACTGTCCTGATATCTTAAAGTCAGGGAGGTTATTTCAGCTCTTACTGACCTGAAGGAGCACTTAGCACTTCCAAGTCCTTTTTTTCCCCAAAAACAAGAGAATTTCACCGGGAGGTAATTTTTCTAGCTGGAATTTTTCCTGGGTAAATTATATATGTTAACCATTCCTTGCAGCATGTGCATTCATTACAGTCTGCAGCTGCCATGTTGGCAAGCAGAAGGGGACGATTCACTTGTCTGGCAGGAGCAGCAGATAGCTCATGGGTTGGATAGCTCATTGGGAAGCTTCCAGCTCGTGGACTCTACTGTTTTTTTGCATGAACCTCATGATTCATCAAGGGGAGCAAGGCACAAAAGACATACACTTAAATGCATGCCTTTGAGCACATTCTGAGCTGGAGGATTTCTGTTCCATACCAGAACTGAACCAAATCGCAATTCTTTGGGACAAAAGTTCTCTTCTGCTTACACTGAGATTGTTTTGTAATTTCAGTAGCCTAATTTAAGTAGGAAGAGCTACTTTGTTCCTATTATTAAGCAACTGACAGGGAGTCAGAAGCCCATGCCAACCTGCTGCAAGTCACCCAGAGACCTGCTGGTACATCCTGGCCTTCCTTCCACCCACCCCAGTGCAGAGGTCTGGCACATAAACATTTGGTTGCGTGATGTTGCTGGTGGTACATCAATATAGTCCTGGGAGATGCACAACATGGGACCTGGCACAGCTCCTCTTGTGAAGTAGCTCACCTGGCCTGTCAATGTGTTCCCTCCCATTATGGGCAGCCCGGGCTGTTGCTGTTCCCCAGGGCAGGCCCCCAGTGTGGCCTTTCACACCACGTCTGCAACAACATTTATTATCAGTACCACGGCAATCATCTAATAGTCCTCTTCCTCATCAGAGTCTTCTCCTGCTGTAGCAGCCTCAAGGGCTGCAAGAGCCTCTGCTACTTCTGCATCCTCCTCCTCCTCCTCTTCCAGTTCTCTATCCACCTCTTTGTGGCACACACACATTGCTCCTTCTGCCGCATCCGTTTCAATATGTGGAGATGGGGCCTCCCTGGATGATTTATCCTTGACACACACCCTACAGGGTTCATCTCCTGAATCACAGCTTTCAGACTCACACGATGGCTTGTACCTGGGCAAGCATTCAGTGCTTTGGGCTCTGCATGTGCGGTTGGTTAACAGACTCGTGTTTCCAGCAGCTCTTTGTTTTCTAGGACAACTGGCATCTGGGGATTCATTTGGGCCAGGCACATGTATGCCACTGCCTTGGGTCTCTGATATGGCACTCTGAGCAGAAGGAATGTTTTCACATGTATTTTGAAATTCCTCATAGTGGACGCTTCTTGTTGCCTCTGAAGTTGGCTTTGGTTGATCTTCATGTTTTTCACACATTTTTGGCTGGGAGACCCTTTTGACGGAAGGATCCTGTAGCTGACCAGAGTTGAGATGTGTGCAGATCTCTTTGCTTTGGTTTGTGCTGGGGTTGAAGTTTACAGCAGAGTAGGAATGGATGCCATTGATAGTGAAGCTGCACTTTTCAACCAAGTTCCCAAGCCCTTCCTCGCAAAGAGCAGTACTTCTGTGATTCCAAACAACATCCTTAGTGTTGTTTAATTTGTGTGTGTTTGCTGCTGACTGAAAGTCAACGTTCTGCAGTTCATTTTTATGTACCTGAATGTCGTTGCTGTGCTTGCATTTGAGTTTGCCTCCATCCTGTTCATCGGACTTGTAGTTGTTTATCTCATTGACATATCCAGATGTCTGCAGTTCTTGAGGATCAAAGATGTAGCTGCAGAAAATTTGAGACAGCCATTTAGTATTTCCTTCTCTAATGAAAAAGCCACAACTAGTCTAAGATTTCAAATCTGTTGTCTTTTGTCAAGCTTTATCAGCATTTTCAATTTTACTTATACTTTGAGTAGACCCATTGAAATCCATGGGCTGTAAGTTAGTCACAATGAATTCAAGCTCCATTTATCACAGTGGGTCTTTGAGTAAATATGGAGCCAAACTTAAATGTGGTGCAATAGAACAAAAACAGAATTTTCAAAAATATCTTCAGAAGCAGCCTTCAACAATCTTATGCCAGATGTAGTCTAGATGTTTTGGGCCACACAACTCCCAGCATTACTGACCAGTGGGCATGCTGGCTGGGGTTGATGGGAGTGAACTTCAAAATATGTGGAGGGCACCAGGTTGGGGAAGGCTGCTTGCAAATATAATGCTTATTTAATTTTAGCCATGCCTCAAGTGGTACTGAGTCTGCCTGTACCTTTGTATCATTTTACAGCACCTGCACCCCATCTGGATTCTTCTTTGTTATTATCTGAAAAGAGAAAGCAGACAAAAGTGTATATAAAGACATGTATTTCACGCATGATATGAAAGAGTGAACAAATGAAAAGGCAGCAGCTTTCTGTTTTTGAAAGAGCATTTTAGATCATTTAGAGAACTAACTCCTATGACACTGGAAACCCTAACATGCTGCTATTTGCGCAGAGCTCCTTCATCCCATTTCTCACAACTTCCGTTGAATATGAACAACTTTTCAGACTATTCCTTCTTTGAAAACAAGATCAACCTTCATGGCAGAAAAGAGCTGGGCAACCAGTGGCTTTCCAGATGTTGCTGGACTACAATTTCCATCATCTCTAGCCAGCATACTCAATGGCGAATAAGGATGGAAGTTGCAGTCTAATAACTCAAGTTACCTATTCCTGTGTTGGGGTGGGCTGGGATATAGGCTCACAGCTGGGTTTGAAGGTTTCCAAGATCTGCCTTGGTCGCCCTGTACAACGACCTGTGCAGGGAGAAGGACAGGGGGAGTACATCCCTGTTGGTTCTTCTGGACCTCTCGGCGGCTTTCGGCACCATCGACCATGGTATCCTTCTGGATAGACTTGCGGGATTGGGGGTTGGAGGCACTGCTTTGCAGTGGTTCCGCTCCTATCTCGACGGTCGATTCCAGAAGGTAGTGCTGGGGAACCATGTCTCTACGTCATGGCAGCTATGCCATGGGGTACCACAGGGCTCCATTCTATCCCCTCTGCTATTTAACATCTATATGAAACTGCTGGGAGAGGTCATCAGGAGGTGTGGGCTGCGGAATCATCAATATGCTGATGATACCCAGCTTTACCTCTCATTCTCCACTAATCCAGGTGAGGCAGTGGCTGTGCTGAACCGGTGCTTGGCCGAGGTAAGGGAATGGATGAGGGCCAATAAACTGAAACTCAACCCAGACAAGACGGAGGTCCTGTTGGTTGGCGGATCGGGTTTCGGAGAGGGTGGATTTGACCTGGTCCTGAATGGTGCAACACTCCCTCTTAGGGATAAGGTCCGCAGCTTAGGAGTACTCCTCGACCCGGAGCTTTCTTTGGAAGCTCAGGTGACAGCGGTAGCGAGGAACGCCTTCCTTCAACTTCGGCTGATTAATCAGCTGCGCCCCTACCTGGAATACGACTGCCTGGCGACGGTGACACACGCGCTGGTGACTTCCCGCCTAGACTTCTGTAACGCGCTTTACATGGGGCTTCCCCTGAAGACAGTCCGAACACTTCAATTGGTGCAAAATAGAGCTGCCAGGTTGCTGACGGGGACGGGGCGTTATGCTCACATGACTCCAGTCCTCCATCAGCTTCACTGGCTTCCCATTGAAGCCTGGGCCCAATTCAAGGTGTTGATTATGACCTACAAAGCCCTAAATGGCTTGGGTCCTGGCTACCTGAACGAGCGCTTACGTCCGTATATGCCCGACCGCCCTTTGAGATCTGCGGGAGAGTCCCTTCTCCGGGAACCCTCCATGAAAGAAATTAGGAGAGTAAGTACCCGGAGGAGGGCTTTCTCTGCGGTGGCGCCCAACCTATGGAATTCACTCCCCAAAGAGGTCCGCCTGGCACCGTCGTTACTGGTTTTTCGGCGCCAGGTAAAGACCTTTTTATTTAAACGTCATTTCAATTGTTAAAACATATGATCTGGCCTGGGCAACTTCTTCTTCCTTCTCTTTCTCCTCCTATATTTTTATTTTATACTGATAATTTTAATTTTGTATTTGTAAATCAATGTATTTTTTGTATTGTTATATTTAATGGTAATTTATTATGTACTATTGTATTTCAATGTATTTTATCATGTTGTAAGCCGCCCCGAGGTTTCGGCAAGGGGCGGCATAGAAATGTTATAATAATAATAATAATAATAATAATAATAATAATAATAATAATAATAATAATGCTTTAGTGCTATCAATGAGTTCAAAGTAAGAATCCCATCCTATGCATTTTGAGGTTCCTCCCAGCATGCCCAGCACACCCCAGAATCCTTAAATGTTGTACCTGTGCATAGGGGTACACAGGCAACACAACTTTCACCTGCTGGCCTTTCTCATAAAAACTACCTGTGGCTTTTTGCCTTGTTCTGTTTGTTTTTTAAAGCATGTTCTTCCTCTCATATGGAATTTTGACACAACACTTAGATGAGGACCTGCAATGTCTTCGAGAGAGAGAGAGAGAGAGCGCACTGCATGGATTAGATGGAATTAGTGGATTTCATAATGTACCAAAGAAGAGGTTTGGAGAGCAACTGGGAGAACAAAATACTGCAAGTTAAAATGGCAGTGACAGAAAAACAGGGCACTTCCTTGCCACCTGATGGGATAAAACCAGAAAAGGAGAGTGTTTCCTTTGGTAATTATTAACCAGTGCCTTCTTGCAGTCAAAGCTGAAACCCGGAGATGAAATGAAATGTAAACCCTTCCTGAATAGTGAGGTAGGAGCTGGAAGAACGGCATTCAGACTTTGGTAATTACAACATATCGTCACTGCATTACTGCAGCACCCAAGTATAAACATTCAGCCACTCTTATTAAATTGTTGTTGCCTGTTTCACGTGGAGGTTTGGTCTGTTTATCTGCATTATCTAAACTATGAGAGGACACTGCGCAGGCAGAGGGAAGAGGAGGCTCATCCCGATGTTGAAACAGGCTCGTGTAAAAGAGGAGCCAGAGTGTGGGCGTGGGTGTTGTGCTTCTTGTGGATTAGTGTCTTCCGAAAGCAATGAAACATGGCCTTTCGGTCTTCCAATCTTCCTGAGAACCTTTTGAAGATATTCAATACTGTGAAAGGCAAAGCTTTTCATTTAGGGATGGAAAGCTGGACTTTTCTTTAGCATTTTCCTAAATTTAAATATATGGCCTTCTGAGTTACTTATGTTTGCTTATAAGTTAATAATTTTCCAGGGCTGCTTTTTCTTCCCGTCATAAAGCTAACAAATGCAGTACCGTCTTTCTATCAGTAGGTGGAGGCATAGAGACCTCTAGTCTACCTCATCGAGCTTTTTCACTTTGAAAAACTCAGCCTAGGTTTATTCAGAAATATACACGTGCTTTATTGAAAGTTCCCGCATTGGTATATTCTGAGATGTAGGCCATTTCCATCTAAGGAAGCCATGGTCCCTACCATGGAGCTTGAACAACTATGGACACAGTTGCACGACATACTGAAATCTGATTGAATAGTTACCTCTCTGCTCAGGGAGAAAATATTTTATTTTGGTGGCCATGTGTTCTACTTGAAGGGTTGTTGAAGGGACCATCCTCTGTTTGAAGGTGTCCTCTCTTTGTCAAGTCCAGGTCTGGTTTAAAAAAACCCTAACAATGAAGTGCAAGCGCCTTGGAATTGCTTATCACAATTAGCACCCAGAATTAGCTAGAGACTCTTTTGTGTATTGCAGTTGGTGTTATGGTATTTATACAATATGCATTTACACTGTTGGGGTACATGATTAGGAAAAAAGTTTGGTTCCTACTGTGTCTAAAATGTGATTAGGTCACCCAGACGTGCAATTGCAGGAGAAGTGGGAGGAACTGGGAAACCGTGCGAAGGAGAAATCATAGAATAATAGAGTTGGAAGGGGCCATGAAGGCCATTGAGTCTAACCCTCTGCTGTTGCAGGACACCAGGTTACACCATCCCTCTCAGATGGCTGCCCAGTTTCTTTCTGAAAGTCTATAGTGTGGGATAGTGCACCACCTCTCTAGGCAGCTGGTTCCACTGTCGTATTGCTCTGACAGCAAGGAAGCTTTTCCTGATTATCTAGCCTGAATCTGTGTTATCACAGCTTGAAATGATTATTCCATGTCCTACACACTCTGGTATCAGTAAGAAGAGATCTTGACCTTCCTCTTTGAGACAGCCTTTGAAGCCCATAAATTTCCTTCCTGATTTGCTTCTTACAGTGATTAAACTTCTGCACACCTTTGCTGGTCCAAAGGAGTAGAGAACTTGAAAAAGAAGTGATTCAAAGCTCCTTTGCCCACCACCACAAAAAAGAAAGGAAAGGAAAAAAGAACAAAAGGAGGGGCAAGAGGAGAGAGGGGGTTGTGCTGCTACTTCTTCCCATAAGTTACTGCAACCAGCAGTCCCCTGTCCCTTTTCCTGAAACCAATTCCCAAAAGTCAATGCAGCCCTTATCCCATGCTGAGTTTTGCAGGAATAAACAAAATTGAAGACTATGATTTACTTCTAAATAGACATGTATATCAGCACATTTTCAGCTAGTTGCTCTTTGAGTTAAGAATATAAAAATGTCAAAGGAGACAATCACACAAAATAAAGGCTTCCAAACTTTTTTTTTTTTTCAAAGGATGAGAGAGGATAGGTAGAAACAGCATTGCATTTACTCCTCAATTCATTCGCCGAGGCAGAGGGACGTAGGGAAAGAGAGAAGCTGCCAGGTGGGGGGCAGCGAGAAAGGCCAGTACCACAAGTTCAGCACATGCTGAAATACACATCATGGAAAAAAGACAACAGATAATGAAGTCATTGTAGAACAGGTGTGAAGAAATGTCAGGATATAATAGCAGAAATTGTGCACGAAACTTGGGTTGGAGTTTGCCTCACAGGACAGATTAGTGAGTCAGACTTTGCAAAGCCAATAAAAGTCCCAAGTATAGATCTTTATCCCGTCTCCCCCGCACCCCGACCCCAAGCACACATGAGTCACCTGTCCATATACTCTTCCATGCTACAGGGAAATGTATTCTATTTGCATTTGCATTTTAGTAATTATTTTCACATTTGCATCTGTACATATAAATCAGTATGTGCACATTTTATGCAAATTTGTAACCTCTGTTTTTGTGATGCATAATGTCCACCCTATATCTTAAACTCATCTCTGCAACTTATCTCTGAATTAGGAATGACTGCTGATAACGCCAGTTAGAATCTGGGGAAACAGACACACATCTTTTTCTTGGCTCATCTGTTCTGGCCAGTGAGAGGTGCATTTTGACATTTCAAGTTTGTTCTTGTGGGTGTTTTTACAGACCCAAGGACTAGGGAATCAGTCCCCCATCATTCAGAAACTGTTTTTGGCACTGTTTCTGCAGAAGGGATGTCTCTTAATCAGACAAAACACTGCCTCAGAAGCAAAAAAGTGATTTCAGGAAGTTAACGTGTTAGAGCAAGTGCATTCTTCACAGGAAAATGTAATTTAATAGCCCACTTACCAATAAATCAGTGGGAGTTGTAGGAGCATGATTTCAATATCTGGATGAGCAGTGGCATCTGAAATGACAGATATTATATTGATTCCTTATATACAGTTATGAGATTTGATTATTAAAAGATATCCATTGTCTATAGGCATATGATCATCCTTATGCTGGGATTTCAAACTTTAGACCAAAGCACATTAATAGTGATGCAAGAGGGGCTGAAAGGTGCTTTGAAAGATAAAATCATCCTCATGTGCATTTGGCATTTGCTTTGGCATTCTGTACCCGCTGGATTCTTTTCCTACGTGTAGGCAGCAGTGTTGTTTGAAATCTCCAGATGGAAAATTCTGTCTGTCTCTCAAACAATAATGTTCTTTTTTTTTAACCACAAGTCAGTTCTGTTCCATGTTTGCACCACTTTTAAAATTCTCCTTTTAAAAAAAACCACATAAAAATTGTATGCCTTTGTGTACAAGTGAACATTTATATGCATTTTGTGAGTACACTGCCCTGATATACACACTTTAGTAAGCACATTCTGCTAATATTTGCTTGGTTTCTATACGATTTCTCCTAATATATACATTTTACATCCTTTTTTACATTGGAGAATTACATTGCAAAATCTGGAGGAGTGCAGAAACAAAAGGAAAGTTGTGTTCACAAATTAGTTTAGGATATGCAACTTGTGTGTATTCAAATGCAAGCCAAGCAGATTTTTGCCCCAGTGCCTATTCCAGATGACAGTTATTCCAGCAACCCTAGTAACAGCAACTGTACCTAGCAACAGAGTCTACTTCCTGAGTCCTGCTAGATGAGGGAATGGGCATGATGTGATGCTGGAAGAAAATAACTAGGTTACTTCCTTTTGCCTGTCCATTGTTCTGGGAGCAGAGGAATAGAACAAAGCAAAAAAAAATATAAAAATTATAAGAGAAATAAAAGAAAACGTGCATTCCAACTCTTCAATGTAAAAGCAAAGATTACTTCCCAGTTTTAGTGAAGAACTCTTAGCACCACTGCCCAGGATTACCCCAAATGCAGTCTGGCAAGCTACCAAACCTAGTCTACTCTGTTCTAGTCTAAGTGATGTGATTACTGGAGCCACTGGCATGTGGTCTGTTGAGACCAGGATGGCTATCCACATTGCTGCAAGCCTGCACTGCAAAAATACATGACTGGAATCTGCAGTACAGAGCCAGTTTGGAAATGACCCAACGCCATGCACTAACATAGCCTGTTTGACTAGTATTCCTAGTGGCTGATGTCACCAATGTGTTGTTGCCATATCACTTGATTTGTGAACAGCATGTGCTAACACACTCATGCTATTTTCATTCATTCCATGGGCATGTTTTTCTGTCTTTGCTTTGCTCCTTGAGAGTCTTAACTGATACTTTCAGAAACTGCAAAAACCAGGAGCAGTCCCAGCTATTAAACCATGTTGCAAAGAAAAGGGTTGTCTTGCATTGCTGTTTTCTTAATATAATGTGTATCCCTTTTGGAAAAAAAATAAGTAATAGGATTTGACAGCTTAATAAATTGCTTTGCTGGTTCAGACCACAGCTCTATCTAGCACTGAACCGCCTTCATTCCCTTAATGTGTGTTACTAGGGGCAACCATTATCCTCAGTGGTTTGTTCCTGCCTTCTGGTATGCAATGGTATATTGCCTCTTTACATGGAGGTTCGATAGCTATTCCATCTAAGCTATTTACACACACACTCAAAGCCGTCTCAGCACCTTCTCTTTTCCTCTGTTATGGCTGGCAGGAGACTGGCTCTTCAAAGAGGCCGAGAAACATAACTCAGGCCTCATATAAAACTGTAATTAAGTCCTACCTCCGAGCCATTGCTTGATGTAAACCATTAGCGTAACTGTTTAATGAAGGAGTTGAGTGCACATTAAGCCACAAACCTTTTCCTGTCTTGGTTTTGTTAGCACTAGTGAAGCTAAGCTGGGATGTTCTGAATTCCACTCCCTGTCTCACTAAACTTGGACAGGCCACCCCTTGCTTAACACAGAGTTGCAAAATAGGAGTAAGAACAGTGTCCTATTTTAGAGGAATCTTGGAATGATTATAGATCAGGAGGGCCAGTTATCATCAAACAAGAGGAAATGCATCACCACTGGAGTCAAGCCAGGAGTGCTTTGGAGCTGAGTGTGGCTATTGGCTCATCTCCCCACTGTGTGGTCAGGTCCTGCGTGACTTCTTCATGCAGGTGGTACAATGTGTTGCAATCACAATGGCTTGCCCTACGTTTGGCCATTCCTAAGACCATTTCTGAAGTTTGGCAACAGAGGCTCAGCTGGGTGGCTTCTAGTGTTCTTCCTTTGCAATTCAGTGGTTATCTGGGCCAAAAGGAGAGCTTAGAAGGAGCCAGGGTGAAGAGGACCTTGACGTTCAGGGATAGCCAGTAGGCCACTGCTTCAGGTGGGACCCCAGAAGGTTAGCCTAACCATGTGTACCCTTGACACCAGCCCTGATCTTCGAGACAGTCACTTACCCAAAGGCACCCTGTGAGTCTCATGGTCAAGCAGCAATTTGAGTCCAGGCTCCCCTGATGAGAATTCACCCGGATCTTCACTACATCACATTGTGTTTCTACTGAAGACTGGTCTGAGCTACTCTTGACCTTCCTGGGTTTCTAATGTTGCTATGAGCAGATTAAAGCCAGAACAACTAATAGGAAAATCAGGTGGATTCTCTTTGGGCTCTGGTGTTTACATTATCAACAGAACTCTGACTTTATTTGCATTTCTGAATCTCTGCTGAAGAGGAGAGAAACATGAGGCTGTTAACAGGGTGGGGTAAGAATTATATGTATATTGTCTTGGAAGTGGCTGGACAGCAGCAAAAGCAGCTTGATGGTCAGCATTCAGTAAGTTTGAAGAACTGATGCTTAAAATGGAATATAAGCAAAAATTACTGCAATCTGAATGTTGACAGGAACTCAAGGTCATCATGAAAGGGATTTTATCCACCATCTGGAAAGAGTCAATCTTTAGATAGGAAGTTATGAGCGAAGGGAAGGACCTTTGGCCACATGTCTCGGAAGAGTGGATATTGGGGTAGAAAGAGAACTGTTGTCTGTTTTGTACAGGTTCACTGGGGGGCAAGCAGAGCACCTGCTTTGCATGCAGAAGATCTCAAGTTCAGTCTCTAGTATTGCTAGGCAGGGCTGGAAAAACTCCATCATGAAACCAGGGCTGCCTGTCAGTGTTGACAACACAGAGTTAGGTGGACGTAGGATACAGCAGCTTCTTCTGCTCCTATGTAAGTGAGGGTAAGGTACCTGGGAGAAACTGTGGGTGCTTCCAGAACGAGTGGTCCTATTAGTACCAATCAAAGGCATTGTGCTGTCATGGAGTCTTTTTGCTTTTTCATGGTTAAAAAAAGACAAAAGAAGCAGTAGAAAAACACATGGGGGTTACAAGTGGAACATAATTGCCTGTCACCCCTAAAGAATTCCGTGGATGAGGCAAGACAATGGTGTGGTAACAGCCTTATCTGGGAGCCTCTAATGTTGGCCCCCATTCTGACGAGCTACCAAACTGAGCTGCAAGATTACCAGGTGCCCAAATAGCTGAGCAGTCAGGAAAACAACAACATCCTGGGCTAGGAAATGTCTTCCATGATGGACTTTCTGTCACATTTCCAGTGTGCCAATTTGCCAGTTGGCTGCCATTTAGAAGAACTGAAACTTTGTACTGGAGGTTAAACTCTCCAAATATCACTGACTGGTTTTCATGCATCAACTCAGGCATTCACACACACACAAACACACACACACAGAGGGAGAGGAGGAGGGAGAGAGAGAGTATTGTTCTAAACCTGTTTGGTCAGCCTCAGGATGTGTGACTCCATATCCTCTGTTTTAGAAAATACGTTGGGGAAAAGGAAGCAAAATAATCCTGTGATTATTATGCTTGTCATCTTCTGACAATGTAATAGCAGGTCTAAAGAAAGGCAAATCTTGGCGAAGCCTTCATACAGAGAAATCTGTGTCCTTACCTGTGACAAGGTATTCCTTCAGATTCCTCAAGTTTTTACATTCATGCTCTACAGCTGAATTCTGTAGTCTATTAATGCTATAGAAATACTATGCTTGGAGAATCTAAGAGGGGCTTTCTCTCCAGAGGAATTCTCTGCATTCCCTCTTGCACCAGCCTGAAGTTGGACCCAATGGCCTATTTGACCACTTCCAACCCTCCTATTCTATGAATCTAAAAAACATTATGGAATAGACTCTCTAGAATATAAAAGAGCAAAAGGCCTGGGTCATTAAAAAGTAAAGAAGAGAAGTAAGAAGCAGATGGATATTTATTTTAATTTAGGAATGTATACCTCACCTCCAGTAATATTTCCATGGTGGCTTACAAATGTTAAATTAAAACATATTTAATGTACTAAAAAGGGGAAAATAACTGGAAGCAGCATAAAGAAAATAAGACAATCAAAGATATTTCAGATGAAATTGAATTAAAAGGGCGGAGAAAATAAAAAGAAGCCTTGACCCAGACCCAAAGAAACATTAAAGTAGGTGGTAGGTGAGAGGGAGAGGATTCTTCACTGGGGGTGCTACCACTGAGAAGACCGTCTTGTCAGTAGCAACTGTCTACTTCAGATGGTGGGGGAACTCAGAGAAGAGGGCCTGCTGAAAATCTCTAGAGTACAGGTAAGGACATGTGGCCAGGGCTGGATCAAGACCATGATGGTCCCCAGAACTGACATATATGTATGGATACATGCATTTTTTTGTGGAGGGGGGAATAGGATGGTACTGTTAGGCTGGTATAGCCGGACAGCAGTTTTCTGGGTGGGCCTGTGATGGGAGTAGAGGGTGGCTACCCAAACCACAGACTGGGTAATTGGACTGTGATGGGGAATATGGAAGCCACTTCAGAGAGGGGAGCGGGGAAGAGGGAGACTGGATGAATGAGATGGGCAGCACAGGTGGGCAAGGACTATAGTTGCTTCTTGTATGCCCCACCCAAATGCCATTATCTTCTGTGTGAACATCAATTCAAAGACACTTCATTAACTACAGAAACAACAAGGAATTTTGT